AAGCTGATTACCCACGGAAGAAAGCCACCGCGCGGCTGTCCGATACCGTCGTCGTCGCGCCGGCCCGCGGTTCCTCAAACGGGACTCTGTTCGATCGAAAGTGGGACGAGGGAAGTTTCCCCGGGGGATCGCGACGCTTTTTAAGAGGGAACGACACGGGGATGGGTGGGTGGGCTGTGCAAATAAGACAGTGGTCGTCGCAGGCGAGGACGACCTCGACGAAGGCGGACGCGTCCGCTTCGACTTCTCGCCGGGTCGGTTCCACGCGTCTCGGGTATAACGATAAAATCATTTAAGCGCTTCTCTAATTCCCGGTAAACGATAATTACCACCGCTCGCTCGCCTCGCTGCAAAGCTGCACAGGCGAAATCGTAATGATCGATGCAATGCCGTGATAGGTAACTACAGCTGCCTGAAGGTGGATCTGATTTTCACGCGAGATCGTGCCTTCTACTTCACGACGGTCTTCATCCCGGGGATCATTCTGGTGACCAGCTCCTTCATCACCTTCTGGCTCGAGTGGAACGCCGTGCCGGCGCGAGTGATGATCGGTAAGTTTCTTCTCCGCTCGCCGGAGAACGCGCGGAGAATCTCGCGGATCCTTCTCGTCTCGCTTCTTTAATTTTCAACGAGCCACCGTCGGCAGGACGGAGCAATCCCGCCGAGAAATAACGCGACGTTAAACTTGCATGGGAACAAGGCTCCGGACGAAAAGTGCAATCGCTCGCTGCGCGCGGAGCCGTAGCTCGCGAGATTAACCCTTCGTGGACGCGGATTTATCGTCCCTTCTCGCGCGACTTTCGGTCCCCGCTCGATTCTGTACACCGAGAAAGTTCGATACAAGAGACGCTCGGAAGCTAATGCGATTGTCCTGGAAAACATCGAGAACGTTTCGGCTTCTGAAATGATTGTATCTCGTTAACCCTTAACTGTTTTAACAATCTTTTCTATATTTGTAGTATCACAATTGTACCATTTAGAGGTAACATTTCAATGACTCCCAAGTATTCTTGAATGAATAAATAGAGCATCATATTAACACTTTGACTGATATACTTTTATACATCAATTAACGATGAATTTTCTCGGTGGCGTATCGGAGGAACCGAATTTTGTTAGATGTAATAAACATAGAAGCGACAGTAGTACAATTGTCACGAAGAATCTTGACTTTTTTCTATTAAGAAGACTGTTCTTGTACGAGAGTTTGTGAGTGTTTATTTGGCAGTCGTGTTAAGCTGCAATCGAACGAACGTCGACGCGAACCTCGAATCGAGAAACCGAGAGCACTTCGTTCGCAAAGGGTTAATATCCATCGAACCGTCGCTGAATTCAATAAAAAAACTGCCTGTATCCCATCGGAAAACACCGAAAACCTCCAAAGCTCCCAAACTTTCGAGTGCAAACGGTTAAAAGCTGCTTTCCTAGTCTGTACAATCGAAAGCGCGATTAGCATTCGTCCTCGAAGGGTGAAAAGGTCTCGACGAGATTCGAACTACAGCTGACGTAGGGACGTGTTGTTCGCAGGTGTGACGACGATGCTCAACTTCTTCACGACGTCGAACGGTTTCCGGTCGACGCTGCCCGTCGTGTCGAATCTGACTGCCATGAACGTGTGGGACGGCGTCTGCATGTGCTTCATCTACGCCAGCCTGCTCGAGTTCGTTTGCGTGAACTACGTCGGCCGGAAGCGGCCGATGCACAACGTCGTCTATCGGCCAGGAGAGAATCCCGTGACCCAGGTACTTTTGTGACACCACGCCCGCCAACAACACCTGCATATTCTCTATTCCTACACCTGTATCTATCTTCTCTATCTATATCTCTATATCTACATCTCTCTACATCTCTCTACATCTATATCTATTTCTATT